AATTTTGCTCAGGTTATAAATTATTTGTATAATTTTGATGAGTCATTACAAACTCAAAACTATACAAAGACAGAGAAAACAAAAGTGATCATTTCTGTGTCTTGTTGTTTTGGTAATTATGCTTAATTATGGGATTTGAGGCTCAGGCACTTCTGTAAGGCTTTGGATTCTGAGCAGGTTCATAAGAAAAGGCTGAAATCTTAAGTCTTACCAACACTACTCCACAAAACAACAAAGCGTGAAAAAACAAAACACTGTGCCGACGTCAAATGAGTAGTGGTTTAGATGTTCAGGGAAACGACATCACCAACAGTAAGTCCCCATCTTTTTAACCTTTCCATCCTCACTTGTCAAACCCAACACACCGAAGCTCTTCATCTCTGTACTTCCTCTTAACGCTGCTGAAATGGTGTTTTGTAATAGTCCCGCCCCTCCCATCCTCTTCAACTCAGCACTCTCTCTCCCTCATCCCTCTCTCGAACTCCCTCCCTCCCTCCCTCACCCTGATATTAATGACACAGCTATCTGAGGCAGCAGCAGTTCCTCTGCGCTCTCCTCCTCCTGCATATACTGCACTCATACACACACTCMCACACACAGACRCACACACAAACAGAGGAGCACGCTGAAACCAAAGAGATACTGGGCGCACTTACACATCCACACAACTCAACTTATTACACCGCAAGTTCACATTCAAGACACTCAGCCTTGCTTTGCACAGACTTGTTTCTTTCTTTTCCTTTTTTCGTTTTATTTTATGAATTTCAAAAACATGAGGACAGTTTTGCTTCGCGTTTGTGCCGGACTCTTGCTTACAGCCACCTTGGTGCCGCAAACCAGCTGGGCGGTGGACTTCTCCGGCAACTCCTACCAGCGATGGGACTCTCGAGGACCCTACAATCTGGGATCCGAACCTGGTAACCCCACCTCTTGCCCCGTGAAACTCAGACCCTCGGGCCACTGCGGGAGCTCTGGGCCYGGGACGGAGGAGGGCGAGGACTGTCCCTACCAGCTCACCCTGCCTCCCCTCACCATTCAGCTGCCCAAGCAGTTCAGGCTGCTGGAGAAGACGATGAAGGAGCTGCAGAGCCTGAAGGAGACGGTGAACAAGCTGAAAAGTGGGTGCCAGGAGAGCTGCGGGGCACAAGGCAACGAGGCGCTCGGGTATGAGCGAGGGGACGGGGGACAGGCGCCGGGCTCGATTCAAAGGGACGCTGAAGAGGGAATCAGACAAGACCTGATGACACATGGTGGATTTAGCCAAGAGGAGAGGGGAGATGGGACGGTTCCTGGAGCTACCGTGGATGGTACTGGACTGGGGCAAGGTGCCARTTATGGAAAAATCCCTTCACATCCAAGCACTGTGCAGGAAATGCAAGTAAGCAGCAAATTCAGTGACTTTAAAACMCAAAAATTTGACAAATGTGGATTTTTTCAAGAAATGTACATCATTCTCCCCTTAATCCAATAGGGTAGCCTACCTTATTGGATTAAAAAATATTCAGGGTGTTTAGTTTGATTGATAGGAAACAATTGCATTCAAATGTCCTGATGCATCTCAGTAATCCAGGTAGAACAAAATCCAAAACAAAAATAAGTAGGTCCTCTGGATGGGTTCTTCTTTAGTGAAACATTTCGTCTCTCCTCCTTGGAGGAGACCCCATTTTGAACCTTTTTGAATTGCATTCAAACTATTGATTTTATGCTGTAAGGCCACATCGTCATCRATGTGAATCTAGAGGACAATGACTAGAAATGTGCTTTATAAACAWGCTGGACACACTACCACCTAAATGTGTCCAGTCAAATGCACCCAACTGGAATGTCAACAGACCAGATGCTAAAAGACCTGTGATGTCTGGTCTGGCACCAGTCCACCAGGGAAAATTCCTGGTACTGTAAACAGAGTGGGGAATCAGCGTTAGACAGCGGCCAAACGGCGGTAAATTTCTCCTGCCTGGTAAGCTCGTGGATTCTCAGAGTCYTGTTGGCAGGCGGCCAGTCATCGCGCAGACGCCGTTTCCATTTGAAAATTCAAGTCGGCTGGTGCCGTCRGTAATCCACCTGCTTTTGTAGCAGGTGCCAAAAACAGTCTTCCTCACTCCCGCGCTCTGTCCTTTTCTCAGGTGAAGCTCAATAGGATGTCAGCCAGCCTACGCAACGCCAGGAGCCAGATCTCGGCTCTGCAGGGCCGTRTGGAGGAGCTCAACCTGCTCAACATGGACAACGTGCAGGCTATGGTGGACAGACGGGTGGAGAACATCACCGGGGTGGTGAACAAGCTCAGCTCATCCTGCAACACACAATGTGCCGTACAGAACAGCCCTCAGTGTAAGCTTGTTTTTTTTTAATTCAGGGGTGAATCGGTTTTATTCTATAACTTTCCCCCCCAATTGATGTGAACTCCACCAAAATAACTTCGGCAGTTTTGGTTGTGGCGAGGGGAATTTCCTGCTATTCCTAAGTGGACATTGTAAAAATGTTGGGTCACCTTCACCCAACAAGGTTGTTCTTGATTGTGACGTGAGAAGGGAAAATCTTTCACGCAGATGATCTCAAACAGCTGTTTTTTTTTCTCAACAGGGCTTTTCTTTATAGACAAGAAATGTAGGGGGATARCTCTGCAAGAAGAGAACATTTCCGTCCAATCCCTCTACATATTTTTCAMCTGAGCTGTTTGTTTAGTGTAAAATGGTTTCTAGATTAGATCATACATCAGTGAAGCAATATAAAAGCCAYGCGCAAAATATGAATTTCAATTAGCTCTTACACAACTAATTCAAGTGCTTTGACCCTCCATTACCCTCCCTCAAAAAGGCAAAACCAGACTGTTGACATCTCATAAAGCTGACAAAAAAGGAGCTGCAGACGAGTTAAACATGACAAACATCCAACAATGATGTAAAAGCTCCCTCAGATGAGAGCACAGCAGAAAGGCAGTCCTAAAAATAATAATACCCTGACACTGCATGAGTGGATGTGACACTATGTTGTGGTGTTCATGTGGAAAACTGGTGTGGGCTTATGTCTAAGCAGATTAGCTGGGACAGTGGTGTGAAGGGAATCCTGTCTCCTCATGTGTGGCTTCCACCTTAAACTTGTCTGTTTCTTCTCCAAACTCTCCTCTATGTTAGAGGACTACCATTTTTTTCTGGATCCCCAGACTGTGCCTCGGCCCTTGTTTTTCTTCTTCTGGCAGCAAAGCTGTTATTCCTGCTGCGTAACTCCAGCGTCTCAATATATCTCTCAGATAACACAAGAAGCAATCAAAGCTGCTCTCCTGACATTGCACTAGTCATCAATGGCACGCAGCATCAGCAACACTCATCTTTGTACATCAATTTCTCGCGTTATCCGTCGRGTTTTGATCAAAAGCACAGAATTTATGTTTGATGGTCTGAGGTCATTTCAGTGGGAGAAAACAAGAAACGGCTGTTGATACCAAAAGAATTGGGCAATACAGTAACTTCTGATAAGACTCCAGTTTCGCAACATGGCTCTCCGCAAAAGTGTAAACGCCGTTACACTTGAATAGTTGCTCTTCATCTGAGAAGAMAATAAAACTGATGACAGTTTTACAACCAAGACTAATTCTTTGTTAAGTTTCTGTTCACCTAAATGAGCAGAAGTGTTTAATTTTAGGATCATACTATCACCTTCAATGCACCAAACATTTCCTTTCTCATCACAAAACTGGCGTTCTGGATAATTTGGTTCCCTTTTATGGAAGCCTTTTGTGCAGCTGAAGCCAAACAATCATTGTGGTATTTAAAGGGATCCATGATTAGTTGTAACATTAGACTTTATTTAATAAACATATATTTTAACAGTAAAATAAAGACTGTGAAAATACTGTAGGATGTTCAGTTTTTATCATTTTTAAACTAAAAGTTTAAAAATATATTACACGGACAGGGCCCTTTTATTTATATGCAAAGCATTCTGGGTAAATGATGACGTGGATAGGTTCTCGGTGTGAGCGAGCTATATCCACCCTGAAGGTTAATCTTGGACAATATCTGATGATCGACTCTTTTAAATAAAACCAGAGAGTGTTGACAGAGAGGAGAAGGTAGAAATGACTCAGCCTGTAACTGAAAATGTGGATGGAGGACAACAGAGCTGCTTCATGGAAGAAGAACCTCAGCTTAGCCTGTTAGCTTTAGCATTAGCCCCGATGCTATTACCATGRATTAGCTCAGTGCTACACATTCTCCTCTCGTCACTGAGGTCCTCCATCCACATGACAGAGYGGGGAACACAAAAATGACTCAGCCTGCAACTGAAAACATGGATGGAGGACCTCAGTTTAGCTTGCTTGTCGCGCTAGCACCGAGCTAATACATATAAAGCAATATAGCGTCGGTGCGAGCGCAAAGGCTAACGGGCTAAGCTGAGGTTCTTCTTCCATGAAGCAGCTCTTTTGTCCTCCATCCACATTTTCAGTTACAGGCTGAGTCATTTCTACCTTCTCCTCTCTGTCAACACTCTCTGGTTTCATTTAAAAGAGTCGATCATCAGATATTGTCCAAGATTAACCTTCAGGGCGGATATAGCTCACTCACACTGAGGACCTATCCACATCATCATTTACCCAGAATGCTTTGTGTGTAAATAAAATGGCTCAGTCCYTGTAAAAATATATTTTTAAAAATTTACAAAACTAAACAGCCTACAGTATTTTTACAGTCTTTATTTTACAGTTAAAATATATGTTTATCAAATAAAGTCTAATGTTACATCTAATCAGGGATCCCTTTAAGTGRTGAAGCAATGCCATTTTTATCATGTCAGTCTGTCAGATCAGTCTGCCRACATTCACACCCAAATTGTTGAAACTGTCATGATTACAAAAATACTGATAAAAAAAACATGTTACGTTTATTACCTTCTCCATTTGTGGTATTGCAATATTTTCACACCCACCGCCACCAGAGAGCCATGTCATTTTAATTCAGTACACTGGTAGATTTGTTYTTTGTTGGGGGAAAGGTGTTTGCCAAAATGACTGATGCCATTCTCTGGCTAAAAGAGTCTCAGACCAATTATCCCCTAATTTGAATCAACAATCCAAAAGACAGCCAAGAGTCTTTTAGACATGAGTAAGTGACTGATATTGGAGTTATTTAAGGTCAGGCACAGTGCCAGGCYTTTGAGATGGAGATGGCTCGTGCCCGTCCAGGGACACTGGCTGTCCGTTCAAATGGATGGGGGACAAATAGGGAGGGGTGAAGTGAAGTGGAGAAACTGCAGTTAGGGGGAAAAAAAGAGTGGTACGCTAAAGGAATTTACAGGTCAAAAACTCTGAATGCCAAATGCCGACAGAGTTATTAACGTGACAAGAATACGTTCCAGCCTCCCGATATACTCTGAAACTGTGTTCCATATGGGAAAAGAAATCCATCTGCAGCCTTTTTGCACTTTAAGTACCTTTTGAAACGTGGGAGGAAAATTAAGTAGATGAGTATACAGTCAAAGCAGCTGGAAATAGCCAAACAGCGTGTTTAATTCTCTTCTCCGCAAGTACTAAACATTGTAGACTTCCCAGATTACCTCAGATTTGTCCCTTTTAATCTACCATTCTACTAAATAGATTTAGAACTAAACAATAGCAACACTTCAAACTCAAACGGGACCCACATTCTGCCTGCTCAAAGTCAGGACAATTTAGACCCAGATGTGCAAAGGCAAGCCTTTCTAATTCAGCTTTGTGCTGAGTTTTGACAAGTCTGTTCCTTTCAGTTCACAAATGCTGACTGACACAGGTCTTTGGGTCTAATGTGTATGGCTTGCAGTGCAACACAAAGGAAATAAACAAGACACATGGGATTAAGAAGGCAGGTATAAAAACATAGTGGGGAAATGGACTTCAAAAAAAGAGTGAAGGGGTAAAAAAATGAACCTATATTGCAACATTTTTATCCCTGATTCTTACTTACTATGCTGGCCATGCTAAAGTCAGATATGATTGATGACATGTTTGAAGAAATCATTTTAAAAAGCCATGTTGCCTGCAAAACCAATGGTAAATAGTTAAGATTTATCAGACCTTTCCCAGAAAATAAAAAGAGAAGCAAGATTTCCACAAGGTTTAAAAGTGAATTTTCAAACTAACTTTTCATTTTCTTTTCTTCAGTTTAGCAGCCTTGGGAGCTGTTTCTATTACAACCTCTTTGTTGGGCAGAAAAATAAGCTAGACCAAAGTGAAAGATTATTAAATCCATCCAGTATAATTCTAAAACATTCCTTTTCTGTCTGTATTCCTTCCACCTCGCAGTTATCTTGGCCCCCCGTGACTGCTCAGACTATAATGTGATGGAGGTGAGGAAGAATGGTGTTTATCGTGTGACCCCTGATCCTCGCAATGGGACATTTGAGGTTTTCTGCGAGATGGAGTCCTTCGGAGGAGGCTGGACCGTGATTCAGCAACGTCTCGATGGATCTGTCAGTTTTAACCGCACCTGGGCCGAATATAAGAAAGGTTTTGGAAACCTCAGGTACGTTTTTTTTTTAAACTGAAAGACTTCCACACAATCATTTATGAACCAAATAAAGGGAAAACCCAAACTAATAGGGAACACARGGTTGAAGGCATGAAAAATAACCCAATTTACATCAAGGTTAATTTTACCTGACAGAGATCTGGGCTATAAAGTTGGGTTTTAACAGGGATAAGAGGTCTAATAAAAGCTGCAACTGAGATGCATTATACAGCAYGGTTTGTAGGATGCAGCAGTTTATGAAGCTTGACTCGTCTCTTTTATGGAAGTGGAGTCATAAACTGTTGGAGCAATCTTTTAAAAATGGAACACAGGCAACACATAAAAATTTAAACAMCAGAGAGGGAATCTTTTTCTCTCGTAATGTGGATTGTGTTTTGTGCTGCAGCATTAGCACCAAAAAACGCAAACATCATACACGGCTGAAGGCAAAAGGTCGATAATAACTTAATGTGTAGTAAATTTAGAGTCAAATGTAGGCAGGATGCATAAGATCCAACAGACCTGTTTTGTTTTTGTCCATGTTTATGTGTGGATTTTATTAAAACTCTCAGAGCAATCACTGGATAGACATCTACAACTAATTAACCTTTGGATTCAAGATGGTCACCACAARGGCGCAACATTAGRAAACACAAAAYTGTCTATAATTGAGTCAYTTTTCCAACTATTAAGCTAAACTTTGGTTTTGTGAGTGACAACCTATACTGTGAGCACTAACTGATTGCACCACATTTGTTTTTAAATCTTTGCTCTTAACTACTGAGTCAGTAATYTCTGTCTGTTAGCAAAATAGCTCAATAACCACTTGATTGGTTTTAATGAAATTCTTAAAAAGACATCTACAACAAACAAACTTAGGGAGTCAACCACATTCAAGATATCTACCACAGATAAGCAACATTAGCATAATTTACTAGCCTGGTCAAAACCAGTTCATTGTTCTTATCTTTGCTTCGCACAGAGGAATCGAGCAGATTTGCAGAGGAAAGCAATGACCAAGCTAATAATTTACATAAATGGTGCCAAGATATGGTGTGGTAGCTGAGAGTCATTCGCAACACTTACTAGATAGGGTGTCATTTATAAGGTTTGGTCAAAACTGCTACAACTTCATCCTTTCTTAGTAGGGCTGGGCGATATGGCCCAAAAAAAATCTGACATTTTTCATCGCAAATTCAATTTTCGATTTTAATCGATTTTGCTTGTCACTTCACGGAGAGTGCCTCTGTTTCAGGTGTCGAAACAAATTTGTAGTACTCCTGCTTTTTGTAGCAAGGGCCTTCAAACTGATTTTGCAGCGAGGTGTTTGTTGCTCCAAGTCTAAGGTTGCAAAATCTAACCAGTTCCAGAAAACTAGGGCTGTGCGGTATATGCGGTAGACGGTAGAAACGGTATGAAATTGGCCTACGGCAGAAATTTACCCTCTACCGTCCTATCGTCATTACGTCATCGCACCTGTGTCAACATGGCTGTGAGTGCAAAGACAACTGAGCAGCAGGAGTTCGAAATATAATGATGAAATTATTAGGGGTGTAAGAAAATATCAATACACTGAAATATTGCGATATTTCATTTCCCAATACTGTATCGATATTCTAAAGCCCTGTATCGATTTTTTTAAGGTTTAAAA